ATCTCTGTGATCATTCCTGCTAGACCCCAAGTGTAATACATTCATAAAAAGGGCTCTTTAGAAGTAGAGTCCCTGTATGTATTCGACATTTTTGCTGTGATATATACAGGGAATTATACATACAGGGACTCTATTTAGAAGAAATCTGAAAATGCAATAAAATACATGGTGCTCCATTTGAAATAACGAAGTTGCTAGTTATTGTTTCTGATAGAAGTGGCAACACTGTATCGATGAAATCATTTTAGACGAATAGAGAATGTTCAATTATCAAAGCATCCCAATTTTCAGAATGTTCTGTCTTTTCGTTCTCCAGATACTTCTAATAGGCCATCCACCGTGACCCACCCTGTATACTATATACACTTAATCGTTGAGCAGTAGAGAGAACAATCCCCGAAATGTTGATAGGGAAAGTCAGTTTTAAAATACACATTTGCGATTTTCAAGCTACGAACGCCACTGGACAAATCATTAGAAATTAGTGTTTCCAGACTAAAATTGCAGTTACATTTATACAGGGTGTCCCTAAAAGGTTATTACGAGAGCTTACCACATATTCCGCAGACCAAAACAATTCGAAACAAGCAAACTTACCTCTGTACAAAGTTGCTTACTTTGGCCTCTAGACGGCTTTAAAATTTTAATATTCAAATCGTTTTTGCTTCATAACTTTGAAACGGCTAATGAGATTTCACTCAAATTTGGCACGTCAGCATAGCTTTATTGGTCAATAAAACCAACATCATGATTATGATTAATATCATTCCATGGGCGCAGTAAGTACTAGATTTTTTTCAGTAAATAAACATCTAAAAGTTCTACGCCAATAGAAAGAAATGGGTTTGAATATGAAATTTTGATTGCGTAACTTGTTAACTACAAAGCAGATACTCTAGATTGAATTCAGTTACTCTCATGGTTTCCACAAAATTTAAATTTTAGTAATTCAAAGCACCGCATAGTCAACACCAAAACAATGAATAGAATATATCATGAAAATTTTCAAATTTTCATTATTATCATGTATACAAACGAAATACGTACGTATACGATGATAAATCAGCTATTTTTTTTTTTGTTTTTTTTTTGTACTGAGTAAATCCGAGCCATCTATAGCGCCCAGCTGAGAAACTTTGTACTGGGGTGTATAAATCGCCGCATAAATCTTTGTATACGTGAAAATTAGGAACATTTGAAGAATTTTTATCAAATATATGTTAATCGTTTTGGTGTTGACCGATGCTTTGAGTTATCAAAATTAAATTTTTTTCGAAACCACCAGAGAAATCGAATTTTATCGAGAGTACTTTTTTAGAAGTCAACGAATTACGCAATCCAAATTTCGAACTCAAACCTCTTTCTTTCCATTGGCGTGAAAGTTTTAGATGTTTATTTACTGAAAAAATCGAGTTCTACGCCCATGGAATGATATTCATCATAATCATGATGCAACTTTGTACTGAGGTGAGTTTGCTTGAATCGAATTGTTCAAGTCTGAGGAATATGTGGTAAGTTTCTGTGAAGACCTTTTAGGGACACCCTTGTACATGTTTAATTTTTGTTGGGACACCCTGAAGTGAACTCAGGTTTATTGTAACACAAAATAAATCAAAGAAGGGTGGGGAAAATTGATAGACATGACATTTTATAAGAAATCTTTTTATTTCAGTTTTTATCATATACAAAGGTTAAAACTTTTTTCGAGACAGAAAACCATCTGATATAATATGTACATGTTTTATAATGGTTTAGAATGAACACAATCTTCAGTGAAGTCACCAAAGTATAACCACTCAGAGAGGTGAACAACAACAAAAATTACAGATCATGAAAGTGACGATTCCAAAGTGGTAAATTCGAATAAGAAATAATGTACTATTTTCAACTGATCAATGAATAAGAGATATCTTGAACTATTATATAAACTCACCAGCAAAAAACGACCATGCTTTATAAAGTTCCTCTGAACCATACATTTGATAATTAAAAAATTGTTTAGCAGTTATTATTTTTAATAATTAAGGGTGGGCGTTTTTTGCCGATGAGTATAGTTTTTCACACACCAAGACAAACAAGCTCTATATCTAATATTATGTACAACCTTAATTATTATTATTGAGATAATTTATGACAGGTACCAAAGAATAATAACAATTTGAAAATTGTTCGATTAATCGTCAAATGTGTTGAAGCAATAATACTAAATCAGAGAGAATAAAAAGAACTAATATGTATTTTTCTTTGTTAAAAAATACTGAAATGTTAAAATAAATACTAAAATATAAGTTATCACCATTTTTAAGCTTTTTTTGGTTGCCCATTTCTTTATTTATAATACTAATCATAAGAATGCCAAGCATGAAAATTCTCGTACAATCCATACAAATATTATTAATATCGTCTTATCAAATATACATCTGTAAATGATACAGAAAGGAAAAATATCATCTTCAGAAAATCTTAGGAAATAAGAAACTGATTATAAGGCTCAGTTCCTAAATTTTCCAAATTCTGTAATTCTCAACTGTGAAGAACCTTCCAAATAATTGTTACAGAACGAAATAATTGATAGTCATTTATTTTTGATTTTTGCCATATCAAATTTTTCATAAGAACATTAAAAATTTATGATTTTGGATATGTCAGTAGATAAGAATAAATGAGATGTACCTCACAAACTTTGTCACAATGAGATACAGGGGTTAATGATGAGGCAAGTGCCCGTTTCTTCATCATACTACGACGAACTAACGCTAAAATGCCCATAAATTAAAAATTACTGGATGAGGAAATGTAAACTTCCCACTCTAGATACGTCCAACCCCACTTTTTTCAAATAGACTTAGGTAATACAGAATTTCCCTCTTCGAGAATTTTCTGTGGTTCAGAGATTCACTTGGACATTACACTACAATTTTTTAAATTGGTTACAAAGAACTTCCACATCTACCCAGCCTATTTTTTTATGATATAAGGTTACTTTTTTTTAATATTCATAATGTTCTATAATTAATTGTGATAATAATTATCCCAATAGGCACATTTAGTATTGAGAGTGGGAAAGTTCCTTCATATACCGTGACACAAGAGACTTGCAATTCATTATTGAAGAAAGTCGAAACCAAATCAATTCAAAGATTATTTAATTCGAGTCACAGCCACCTTGACGTTTTCAATAAAATACGATGAATTGTCAATCGATAAACAAATGTCACAAATTACAGGGTTATATTAATGGATGATGAAAAAAGTTGGGGTAGTTAAAAATATTAGTACGGTTGAAAAAATCACCATTAAGTAAGTTTTATGATTTCAAAATTTTATCTCAATTGATGAAAAAAAATACATGTCTTCTGTGCCACTAGGTATAGATAGTTCAAAACTTGCGCAAATGATGTTTTTTTTTTCATTTTTCATACAGACTAAAATACGCACAAAACACGCGGATATATTTTCAAATTTATTTTTCAAATATGAAAATAACCGGAATAAGTATTTAGTTAGATATTTCTAAATGCTATTGTTTTTGTTTCGTTTTTTTCTTGAATATTTTGGTCACTGTATCAACCACAAGCGATTCAAAATAAATAATAAATATCAACCATATGGTGCTACTTTTATTGAAGACTGAAGACTTGCCCAGCAAAATCTAGCAGCCAGGTTGAGAAATTCACCAAAGAGAGCAAGACGCGTTGGTAAGGATTTTTCTTTTTTTGATGGTTTGAATTCATGGAATAATTTGTGTTTTCATGTCACAAAAAATGGTTGCAAATAATAAAGTTGATTATTTTCACGTGGTTACTACAAAATGTTGTCAAGAAGCCATTCCATGATAGACCAGGAGTGAAACTTGATGTTTCAGCTCTATTATGCGGAAAAGAAAAACGATAGATGAAACCAGAAATTAGTTTCTTGAATGAAATCGAGTGAGGTCATCATTCTACTTTTTTAGAAACCTACATTTCGATATATTTGCAAAGAGCTATTTTTTTCCCAAGTAATCTTGTGGAGAAAAAATCTCCTGTTATAAAATGATAACTATAGAACTCCACTGAAAATTATCTTTTTTTTTACCCTTCCTTCCATTCGCCTTTTTCTCCTTGTTCTTTTCGCTTATTGAAGATTTTCCTACATTTTTGTTTTTTTCACAATATAATTCCGAAATTTGAAAACATTTCTGTCTTAAAAATTGTTTAGTCATATCGTTATTTGTTTCCAAAGGCTACTTGTTTAAATCGTGACAATAGTGAATTCCATATACTATTTCAACATAATTTGCTCTCACTTTCTCAACAGAAGAAGATTGCAAACGTTTTTCTACTACTAACTAGAATATTCATTCAGGAGAATTAGCTCTTTTCAAATATCTCAAAACATATATAATTGTAGAAAAAAAACTCGATGACGCCATCGATTGAGTTTCAAAATATGCGATTCAAGAACTGAGACATCCGAGTTTTGCTCACTCTGTAAATATACTTTAAATACGAAATTTACCACTAGCCATACAAGAGGTCCTTTAGCCAATATATGATCTGTATAGCCAAGTAGCACTGTAGATTTCAACACGAAATTGAGTTACGATATTCAGAATTCATTACTGGCAATATAAATTGGAAATCTCAGTCACGCCTGGGATTAGATCATCATACTAGTCCCTTGGACCAATGAAAGAAATATGGGTATCTGCATTTAATGCAACTCTGACCCTATGCAAAATAAATAATTCTTCTAGAACCCATTGAAAACAAGACAAACTGACAAACCGAAACTAAAAATTTTGCCAGAACCCAAAAACCGATTCAAAATCCATATTTTGTTCTTCTTCTTCACCCTTGTTCTTGTTTAGTCAAAACTTTCCGACTATTTGCGACATGAAGATCTCTTTCAAACTCGAACCATGAATAAAACCATTCAAAGATAAGAAAAAACCAAACAGACACGTTTTCTAAGCAAATTCAAACATTTCCAAACCACCCACTACCCGATAACCCGTCTTATTTCTTCTTCTTCCTCCTCCTAGAATTCTTGCTGAGAGGGACAGTCGTCTTAGAAGCGGTCAAATCCTCAAACACCGACGATATCTCTGGCACCCGCCCAGAATCGTCACTCTCCGTGGTATCCACCGGAGAACTGGACTCCCCCTTCTCATCGTCAGAAGATTTATCCACTTTCAGCAAACCCAAATCCTCAGAAACGCTCAGCGAACCCTTGTTCGAATCTTCTTCGACAGTTCTTTCCGTTATGTCGATACGTTCAGACAAAATAAAAGGCTTCTTCGGTAACTGGATGGTGAACTCTTCCATGAACTCGATCTTCGGCAAGTCCAACTCGCCCATCAAGCTTTTCTCTTTGGGCTTGGAAGCTGCTATGCTGCTCCAAGACTTCCTAGGTGGAGGTATCTCCGCAGAGCAATCCTCGAAAGTCTTCTCTTTTTCCTTATCCATGTTTACTATCTTCACTCCCAGCTTCGCCTTAGGCTTCCTCGGCCTCTTAGCGAAAGTCTTGTCTTCGAAAACGTTCTCCTCCGAGGTGTTATTCTCCGAAGAGTCCTCCAGATTGTAGCTCTTAGGTTTGGGCTTCGTGACTAATATCAGAGTTTCTTCGCAGTCTCTCGCATCCTCGAAGTTATCTGCCTTCTGCAGGTTTTCCAAGGAGAAGAAATCCTCGTTGTCCAAAGGAGGTAGCTCGAAGCAGAAGGCTTTATCTTCGTCTTCCAAAGGCAGAGGCTTGAAATCGGGAATGTCGAACACCGGATCCGGCTTTGGTTTAACCTTAGCTTTGACCTTGGCGCTCTTTGGCGATGCTTCTCTAGGTTTGCCCTTGGATTTCTTGAGGATCTTGACCGCCACCTCAGTATTACCCTCCAAGCTCTTTGTGATGATGTTGTCCCCATAGCGCTTGGTCTTTTCGTGGCAAAGAATGGCCTTGGGGGTGACGAAGGGTCTGAAGAGGGCCTCGTCGCAGTTTTCGTGGATGATTTCCTCGCAGACCTCGATTTCGGGGTCGTCGTCCGATTGGACGGTTACGACAGTGCCCAGCGGGTTGACTACCTTGGCGACCGGCGGTTTCATTTGCACGATCACGCAGTGGCCACCTGGACAGAAAAAGCCAATGGCAGGTTACTGATTTTCTAGCGGGGAGGGGGCGGGGTTTTAAGCTAAGAGCACATGCAGCAAGCACAACACAAACTACTCGAATTCAGCGTTTCGGAACTTCGGATTTGAATGAACCACAATCCGTGAAATGAACTGGTGTTATAAACCTACAGATAATTTAAACTTCCGATAACTGTGTGAAGAATCAACTGAATCATGTGACTTCCTTTATTTGAAAGATGTATTTTTTGCTAGATCTGATTGATTTCAACTGGAATTGTGTACTCGTACTTTTTCTACGACTCGGTATGTTCGCAGTCGCCAAGGTCATTAGATGACGTTGCAATGACATTAAAAACTACGAGAAAACATGTCTAACTTTCGATCTATCCCAGAAGTTAGGAGATGTTTTCCCGTGGTTTTGAATGTCTTCGCAACGGCATCTAATGACCTTGGCGACCGCGAATACTTTTACGGTGTACAGGGTAACCCACATTGGACACATTTGAAGATAAAGTAAATTTTTTAAACTAGATATAGGAAGATGATTTCGGTGTCTGAGGAGCAACTGATGACAAACTTGATTTGGAAATGTTTTGATGAAAATAAAGGAATGTTGAGAAAACAATGTGTTTCAGCAACATTTCAAAACATAGCACATATTTGAAAAACACCTTGTAACTCTGGAATGAATATAGATATTGATTTGGAATGAGTATGTCATAAAAATTGATTATGAGGTACTGACATCAATTTTTTTTATATTGAGTTTAAAAATATGACTCTTTTAAAGGGTCCAATTTGGGTCAAATTTCATAGCTTGAGTTGAAAGCAATCACTTATCAATGAGGGAAAATTATACTTTCAATCAATATTACCTGATTATATATAAATGTCAAGATTGACGTTTAACTAAAATTGGGTGAACAATTTCAGCACACTTTTGGGATTAAAAAAATAGTATTTTGATGTTCAAAAATGACTCGACTTGAGGTAAATACACAAGAAAAAGCATATGTTTCGACAGTGAGAAAAATTTATGATCAACGGTTACTGATAGAGAACATTTTTTAAGAAATAACCTATTGAGAAGTTTGAGCCTGTAATATATAAATTGTTATTGACTATTCAAATAAAAGCCCGATCGTAATGGAGAAAAATCAGTGTCTGATTATGAATAGTTTGTGTGAAGTGATGTTAGAGTGCAAAAAAATAAGAGATAACACTTTGATAAATGAGGAAATTGTGAGATCAGTGAGGTCTGCCTTTGGCCTTTTCTAGTCCCATAACCATGATTCATTTTGTATGGTTTTTCCATAGCTCATAACTTTTGATTTCGTACAGACGATGGATTTTCCTAACACCATCAAGAGTCAATACCAATCTTAAGTTCAGTTTTGATACAAATGTCATGAGCTAAGAGAATCTTTGATATAATAATATGTAAGTAGTAGAGGAAGTGTCGTTATTTCTCAGGATGGTCATAGTAGACTTCGAAAGCGTTAACTCATTATTCCAACTGACCATTATGAGAATCTATCGAACGTTTATTGCATGTAGGTTTTCATCACAATAATCAACCAATAAAATGAAAAATCTATGGAGTTTTTGATGTTGGATCAAACAGTTAACCAATAAGCCATTCATGCATTTCAGATGGGTTTAAAGTTCTCAAACTATATAACTACATATTCGAAAACAAAATATCGGCCTTTGTAAGTGAAAATATCAGTCCTTATTGGCGACGCAAAGATTACGAATATGTGCAGTGTGCACCTCTAACGGCACAATTTGGAAGCCGAATTGAAAAACTTCCAAATCTAAAGTGTGCATATGCAGAACTGTGAAGTGTCATGAAGCAAACATTTTCATCAGTGGCGTGGACTCGTGGAGCATGTGTTTCTGTTTCTTGAAGTGTTTTTCCGTAATGTTTGACGCTGGCAATTCTAAATGTGGATTCAAAGATTTTTTGTGATTTTTTCAAACCATTGTTAGGACAGGAATTCAAATGTATGTAACTACAGTAGTGACATCACATGAATGCATCGTTGTTTTGACAATAATTATTAAAATAGGTACAGAAAAACCATTTGAATCTTGAACAATTCAGGGTTCTAGCTTCGCACATATAGAGGGCTAAAATTTTCACTCTCACCAGTTGGCGCTACTAAAACATGAGGTCAATGTCAAAGTCAAAAATCCCAGATTTGCCGGATAGCTGATGAACGATGATCAATGACCGATGACTGATGATGAGTCATATTACAGGAAAATATCATCAATGGAGTCGATCACGCTACAACGTTGCCAAATCGATCACGCTACAATGTTGCCAGACTAAAAAAATATTAGATATTACTATGTTGATATAGTATGTAATGATATAATAACCTTGCTAGGACAAATGCCGTTTGACGATTCACAGATGACGTTTGACAGATGACATTTGACAGCAGACGTTTGAGTGTACGGGGTGGAAGGGCCGAATGAACATTATATGAAAAACATACAGAGCGAGCTAAAAACCAGAGGTAGGTAAAAAAATCTTTTGCCAAATGGAATATTTGAGAATACAGGGCGAGCTGAAAAACTTGAGGCAAATAAAAAATGTCATCAACATATGACCCTACAACTAAGATTATCAGACATTTAGCGTATGCCTCATGACCTTGTACCGAATAAGGTTAGCGAAGCAATAACGAATCATTTCAGTGGACGTCTATGAGGAGAGAATCCATCAATAATGGTCAGATTGAAGTATTCGCAATACAAGTGCCGGGAAACGATACGAAATATAAAATTCGATTGATTTTCCACGATAGAACCTTTGGAGATTTGGGAGAATGGAATGGAAAAATCCTTAGTAATATCGAGCATTTCAGCATATAGCAAAAAAAAAAAAAAAAATGATGTAGAATATTCGAACAAATAGAAAACCTCAAGTTATGGAAATACTTCAGCAGACTGACATTGTTTTACTCTCAATGTGGAAGTTTACGACCAATTCTTATATTGACGGAAAAGAAGATATCATAGCAAAAGACCAAATGACACGAAAATAATAAGTATATTTATTAGCTCTACCAACCCTGACCCCATGTTTCGTTGACACGGTTTGGTGAACAATAAATAATTTTAGCTCTCATTAGAGACCTCTAGTAGCAAACGCAGAAACACGCCAACATTATGAAGTATACAAAATATTCGCATATCCTTCACTAAGGCGGAAGTTGTGATGACGCATGCGCCTGCAACTACAATTTCAAAAGACGAAGTCATCTTTTGACACCTGAATGATATCTATAAAGACCGTGTCTGTTCGGCAACTGAGTACAGTTTCATGTGTTATACCGGGTGGCTACGGAAGTATTGCCTACGGAATATCTCAGTTATTGTATGTAGTAGGTTTGTGAAATTTGGAGCGTCGATATAATGACATAAGAGCTAGAATTTGAGCATATTGACATGTCGAAGTTAACTTCCGGTCTGACCGGAAGTAACATCAACTTTCTTATTTTAAATAGAAACCCTATTTTTTTTCTTTTCGCTTTATTCAGCATTCAATTCCCTTTCTAACGACATATCACAAGTTGGTATCTAACCAGAAACTAGATCAGAAAAAAATTATTATTGAAATTCACCGAGTAGGCCGTGGAAGCAAAATGAAAGCCAAAAAATGACTTTCTATTATATCATTAGAAAGGAATGGTTATGCTGAATAGTACAGGCAAGAAAAAGTTGTATGTTCCTATTTAAGTTATGGACCTACAGAGTATTGTTTTTTTCCCAATTTTTCCAATATTTTTTTTGGCGGCTTTTTATAACGCCGATGAATGAAAATAAAATATCACAGTAGTAGCAACTGTTATCAACTGACGTATGGTTTCCATAGCCAACTTTTCAATTTTTGGCTTTCATTTTGCTTCCACGGCCTATTCGGTAAATTTCAATAATAATTTTTTTCTGATATAGTTTCTGGTTAGATACCAACTTGTGATATGTCATTAGAAAGAGAATTGAATGCTGAATAAAGCGAAAAGAAAAAAAAATAGGGTTTCCATTTAAAATAAGAAAGTTGATGTTACTTCCGGTCAGACCGGAAGTTAACTTCGACATGTCAATATGCTCAAATTCTAGCTCTTATGTCATTACATCGACGCTCCAAATTTCACAAACCTACTTCATACAATAAGTGAGATATTCCGTAGGCAATACTTCCGTAGCCACCCGGTATATGTCATTTTTCTACTCCACTGTTAGAAGTGCTAGAACCAAATAGGTGATCAAAATTTTCCAAAATACTACTTCATGAACCTTGACTTCCTATCACCTTATGTTAGTTGAACAAAATGGGCTTTAAAATAATGTTTATATGTTGTTTAATCCCCATGGAAAAAATATTATGATATTGTTCATGGAATTGAAATGGAATTGAACCTAAAAAAAAATATGTTACAGTTTGAAAGGAAGATGCAGTATTTTGATTAACTTTGATCATTAATAATTTCAACAATTTTTCATCCAAATAACCAACTTATAAACAGTGAAGACGTAAAAGGTCCTCCCCCCCCCCTTTGACTTATGAACGGAACAAGCTAGCGAGGTCGGGTGAAATTCAGGCAAAAAGGTACCTCTTTTACTACTATTTGGCATGAAAATGGTTGTGGTCACGTGACCTAGTGCCAAGTGGGCACCATCAACTTTTTTTTCAAAATATGAAGAGGGGTCACGTGGTACCTTGTTTTGAAGGCCTTTCGATTCTCTATCCAACACCGCTTCGTTTGTACAAATCGGCCATGCGTTTGAAATTTGTTTCAAACATTATTATTAATGAATAAAAAACCTAAATAACTTTTAATTGCAACAGAATTTCAAGTAGGAATTGTAACAAGTGCTCAAACATGCTCGAAATGTTCATCGTTCACTTATTGACACGTTGATGGTGCCCACTTGAAACGAGGTCACGTGACCACAACCATTTTCATCCCAAATAGTAGTAAAAGAGGTACCTTTTTGCCTGAATTTTACCCGACCTCGCTAGCTTGTTCCGTTGAAAGGTTAAAGGGGGGCATCACTTTTTACGTCCTCACTGTATATCTATCTATCTATCACTGTATACTATCGAAATGTCAAAAAATATATAGGGTGTTCCATTAAAAAAATCAGAGTCAATATCCTTTTCGGAGAAACTAATGATCCTGTATATAATACATCTACACAAAAAATTGTTTGGGGTGTTTCAAACATTTTTTCATATTTCTAAAAACGAGAGTCGAAAGGGGGATCATATTCAAGAGGCGTACCCTATACCTGTTTGGACAACAAATAGTTTTTTATATACCCTGTTCATGTGTTGCCAGTTGTTTTATTTCAATTATATCAGTAAATTATTCTTGGCTGTTTCAAATTCCGTCACTAGAGGCGCAAGCGACAATCTTCGAGTCGCCAATAATAAAAACGAGGAAAAAAAAACACTCACCGGTCTCCCGTATCCCCGGCGACTCCAGCATGGCGTCAGCCAAGTCCTCTTTCAGTTGCGACTCCCCCACCCCTCTCCCGCCGCCCCCCTCCTCCTCCCCGCCCCTGCCGTGGTACGCGTCGAGCAGCGAGTGCTCGTAGCTCGACGCCGAACTCGACTCGATCAGCACCGCATTTGCTGTGGTGATGGGCATGTTGACAGGCTTGGTGTGGCCGAGATCGATCGGCATGGCTTCCGTCAGCGACATGGGAGAGCTAGAAAATCATCAATCTATACTTATATTATAATGAGGAAAGATTTGATTGTTTTGAAAAGGAATATTTATGAACACGAAAAATGGATATATGAATAAAGAAATACATTCACATTCTTCTCGTGATGAAAATATTAATTCTTTCTCGGTTTATTCAATAGAAAACAACTACTTTCCTGGCTATATGCCACGACGAATATTGAATTACATCTATTGAACACACACGATGAGAATTTGACAACAAAATCTTCTGAATTTGCATTCTCCTTCATATAAAGATATGCTTATTCATTCTGAATATTCAACAGAAAACAACTACTTTCCTGGCTATTTGCCACGTCGAACATTGAATTATATCTGTTGAATAACCAAATTGTCATTATCTCTCAAATCGAATAGAATAATATGATGTATTATGATATAAGAATATAACTTACCAATATGTTCAGTATTGAAATGAAAATTTAAATGTATAGGAGAAGTACACTTTTATGAAATCTGATCTTGATGAGCTTGGAACTTCCAAAAAAATCATTCTTATCAGTGATATGGGTATTATATCTCGCACAAACAGGTTATATGACTTGACTCGAGTAAAACTCATTTCGAATTTCATATCCTCATCAGTAACCTGAAGTCCAGTTATTCTTTCAGCCATTCTTCATGATATACACAATTTTCATCTCCCTATAATATAACTAAAACTACAACGAACTGACATCTAAGAATTATTATGTTTTCTTACATTTTGGGTCGAATATCTCGAAAACTGTTCATTTCAGCTCAGTAAAAGGTGATGCATTCTTTAACAAAAATGGACAATGAATTTGTGGAATTAGAGATAATTGAAATTCAATCAGTGGCGTAGAAAATATGGGAGGAAAAGTTGCCACAACTCCCTGTAGGGCACCACTGAATAAAATGTCCGGAATGGCTTCCTGGTCAAAAAATGACCCATTCAAAGATGAAACCATATACCGAAGTTGAATGCATTATATTAAATTTTTCTTGAGATATTCCGAAACAACTATTTTTATTTCTCAACTTGACGCCCTGTATCTCGAGAACTGAACACTTGACGACCGTATGTCCCTATATCAGTGATTATGAAATCACGAAGGCTATCACCTGTCAAGCGTTGTCGGTCGAATTTAGCAACACCCTGTATATTCCTCACATGGATTTTAAAGTGTATTGTACTGTGAAAATTTTATACTCTCATAGACTCATACTCAATGTCAAGTTACGACAACAGTTGTCTGAGAGCCTAGTTCTATCACAGTTTACATACTGCGATTTTCTTTATGGACCATTTCTTAATGCTTCATACATAAACAAAATACAAAAAGTTCAAAACTACTGTATTCGATTCATATTCGGACTCCGAAAATATGATCACGTTAGCCACAAATTGAAAGAACTCAACTGGTTGAATATGGAAAATCGTAGGAAGTTACATCTTGCAACTTACTTACACAAGTTAATGTTGACAGGCCCCGAAGATATAAAGAGTGAACTAGTACCCCGGCACCATGTTCATTCTGTTAACATCAGAAACAAAGACACAATAACCGTTCCCCATCATTCGACAACTCTCTTTCAGAAAGGATTCACTTATAATGCTATCAAATTGTTCAATTCACTACCTACTGAATTGAAAGAATGCAGTAAAAGCGCCTTTAAATATCGCTTCAAACAAAAAATCTTAGCATGCCCTTAGTTCGCACTTGTTATCTATAAGTTTGTATAATTCATCAATAAATTTAACTTCAACTCAATTATTCTTGTTTTCCAGTTGCTCACTCACTATTTTGTCACTATTTTTCATTTAATACTGATTACTATGTGGTTAGATGTAAGAATAGCTTTAGCTAAATCTCGCCACTAGTGATCAATAGTACAATTATGTTTTTGTAACCATATATATATACATAAATAAAGACGATTTATTATTATTATTAATAGATGTCAATATTTTAGAATAAGTAACTCGCCTAAGCACAGGCACTGCCTTATTGGAGTTTTGTTTATTCGATAATATCTCATCAGAATATACTATACATATATACTATTAATAGAGTTTTGAAGTAGAGAAAAAATAAAGGAAAAAAAGAATAATGAGTTAAGAGAGAGAAGGAAAGAGAGGAACGACCTATGGTCAAACAAATCGATTCCACTCACCCGCTGGTCGTCGTGTACGTCTTGAAAGTGACCTGCGGCCCCATCCACAGCCGCCTGTGCGGTCCCGCGTGCGTTACGATCTCCACCTGCGCCAGCCATCGCTCGTCCTCGCGGTCAGCTTCCTTGTCGTTCCCGCCCACGCCGCCAGAGGGCGCCTGTCGCGCCACGTACGCCAAGTTGTCGGCCGTCATGGGCGGCGCCAGGTCAGAGGCAGCGGGCCGCCTGTGAAGCGGCCATTGTGCCCTGGCGCGTACCGTCAGTTCGATTGGCGTGTCGCTGGACACCCTGTGGAGATTTGATCGATTTCCTTTTTTTTTGTTTCAACCGAGGTTTGACGAATGAAGTGGCCCATCTGGATATTTCATCCAATTTTTCAAATCAAATATCATCAGAGAAATAAACAAAATATTGCTTTGAATATTAGAATAAAAACTGAAAGATTGAAACAAACCGCCTATAGCAGGGACAATTATGAAAGAGCAACTAAAAAAATTAGATAATCAGATAATCATTTTTAAATCATATACATAGTACATATAATGTTGTTTCTTCTAGAGACTGTTGAATATAAGTTCTTGAATTGATTTAGGATGATATAAGAGAATCAAAGACATAAGTATTTTTTCAGTTCTTTTTGGAATTTCTCAACACTAATTTTTTTCTTCAGTCTGGCAGGTAATTCATTATAGAGAATTGTTCCATTGTATAAAATAGATCTTTTACCCATATCTGATTTGATTTCGATGAGAGTAAACATATCTTTATGTCTGGTTATGTGTTCGTGTTTATGACTATTGACTTCGAAATTCAGATTTGAATGTTTATAATTATATTTGACGGTATGGATGAAATTTAATATTTTGAATTTGTAAATGGAGTTAATATCTAACAATTGCCTAGGTTTATGAAGATTTCTTGTTGGTTCCAAGTAATCTAGTTTGTATGTACATTTAATAACTTTGTTTTGAAGGATTTTGATTGGTTTAATAATTGATAATTTAGCTGTACCCCAAACTGAAATCAAGTATTGTAATTTTGAATAAAACAAGGAAAAATATATACATTTCAAGTATTTCAAAGTGATTTGGTGTCTGATTCTGTAGAGTACTCCGATTACTGGAGATATTTTCTTTCTGATCGATTCAATATATTTGGACCATGACAAATGTTCATCAAGGAATATCCCAAGGAATTTGATGGCTGTGGAATATTTGATGATTTCATTATTAAATTTGATATCAAATTTCAGTTCACTTGAATATTTTATTCATGTGGTATTACGTTTGTATTCATCATTTTTTGCAAATTTCATTTCTTTCACAATGAATGAAACAGTACATATTTGATATTTGTGTCGTTCAATTGTATCATGATCTATCAAAATTTGCTCTGGCCAAACATACATGTGAGTTCCTTGGGGGCCACGCATTCTCATCCCTATCTGAATTACATATGCTGTCATGCATTTCCGAATGACGAGGCCTCACAACATGAATTGGTCGTCATACATGTATTTATGACGCGGCCTGAACTTAAGCCAGAAAACTATGGAGAAACTACTTGATCAACACATCAGAAGCAAAATTCTGTCGAATGTCCGCTTCACAAAAATCAATTTGCCTATCAATCAGGCAAATCTACAGAGACCGCCTTACATAGTCTGGTGGGAAAGATTGAAAAGGCACAGGTAGATAAAGAAATTGCTCTGTGTGCCTTCATCGACATAGAAGGAGCGTTCGATAACACTTCCGATGAATCGATAGAGCGAGCCACAACCATCAAGGGGCTCGAGGCCCCAACAACAGGCTGGATACAATCCATGCTCAGGAGTAGAAGAATAAAAGCTACACTGGGAAGCAGCTCGTTAACTGCACAGGCCACTAGAGGTTTCCCCCAAGGAGGGGTACTGTCTCCTCTTTTATGGTCCATTCGATAACTTACTCAACAAACTAAGCACCGCTGGCTTCGATATTCAAGGCTATGCAGATGACATTGTCATAATAATAAGAGGCAAGCATGATAGGATTTTATCAAACCTAATGCAGACTGCACTCAACTTGCTGAAAGACTGGTGCTTTCAGGAGGGCTTGAATGTCAACCCAAGCAAAACGGTCATCGTTCCATTCACCAAGAGAAGGAAGATCAAGTTAAAGGAACCCATTATGGATGGGACGCCTATCAATTTCTCCGAAGAGGTCAAATATCTAGGAGTAATCCTAGACAAGAAACTCACGTGGAACCAACACTTGACCAAAATCGTCAATAGGGCAATTTCAGCTCTCTGGATATGCCGAAAAATGTTTGGCCAAACGTGGGGTCTTAAACCAAATATGATCTACTGGTCTTATCTCACGGTGGTCAGACCCATGGTCACATACGCTTCTCTAGTGTGGTGGACCAAAAGTAAGGAAAAAACAGCACAACTTAAGCTGCAAAAAATCCAGAGACTCGCGTGTCTTGGGATCATAGGGGCTATGCGTACGTGCCCTACTGCAGCAATGGAAGCTATGCTTGACCTACTACCCTTGCATATTTTTATCAAGAGGACTGCAGCTCTCAGTGCATACAGACTGAACTCCACTAAATTGGCCAGACCAGATGATGTCACTGGTCACATGGTCATTCTACAAGAAGTACAAATGGATTCTGCAACCAAACCATTGGACATAATGCCAGCCAGGCTCAGTTTCGATCATACCTTTGAAGTGGTTATAAAAAGCCGCCCTAGGTACGGTTCCGCTGAGCCTCAGCTGGACAGAGGTTCCCTTGTTTGGTACACCGATGGTTCGAAAATGGAAGAAGGGGTAGGCGCGGGTGTATATGGACCCGGATGTAGGCTATTTGAAGCCTTAGGTCACTCCCCCACTATCTTCCAAGCTGAAATACATGCCATCAACCTTTGCGCCCAAAGGTGCCTGAGCAAAGGTCTGAGGGGTGCCAACATATATATCTGCTCAGACAGCCAAGCCGCACTAAAAGCCCTAAAATCATTCGTTTTCACATCAAAGATTACATGGGACTGCTTTGAAACACTCATGCAACTGGGAAAGGGCAACAAAGTCACACTTATGTGGGTTCCAAGGCATGAAGGAATCAAAGGAAATGAGGCAGCTGATCGCCTTGCAAAAAAAGGTGCAGCATCTGCACTTTTTGGTCCTGAGCCTTTTTGTGGGATACTGGGATAAGCAAATGTCACCTAAAGGGAGAACTCGGGAAATGGGAAGAAATTGAAAAGTCCTCCTACTGGAGAGCAACTCCAGGTCAACGACAAGCGAAAAGGTTCATCAACCATTCGCAGAACCGAGCCAAAGACCTACTCAGCCTCAGCAAACCAGAGCTAAAGCTTATCACAGGCTTTCTCACAGGACACGGCCCTCTGAGGTACCACCTCAAAAAGATGGGTCTGGCGGAGACTGACACTTGCCGCTTTTGTAACAATGCGACCGAAACCGCGGAACACATACTTTGCTCATGTGAAGTATTAGTCCGCCAAAGGCTGAACCACCTAGAACAGGTCTATCTCACCCCTGATGAAGTGGAAAAGTCAACCGTCAGGAAAATCGTAGGCTTCATCAGGAGTCTAGGGTTAGAGGACCAAAACTAGATAGGGGTAATCACAATATATCTTCTAGGTCGCAGTGATCGAGAGGTCTCTCAGCCTATACGACCCATCTAAAATCTACAATCTAAGTGGAGCTGTCATTCAGATATGTATGACGTGGCAATCAATGTGTTAAGGAGCGACTATAAATACGGGCCTTTCTCACCTCTCCTTGGGCACGTTGGGCACCTGGTGCGGGTCCAAATCGTACTGCACGAGCATGCCGTGACAAGACATCACCAGCAGCGATTCCACCGGCTTCGGCTGCTTGTTGAGCGGCACCTCCCTAGGCGGCGCGTCCAGCCAGGCTCGAGGTTGTGCGAAGCAGGCCACGACGCGCAAGGGGGCGGTGTCTTCCGAAGATGACGGCAACCTTTGTCGACCTGAAATATGCGTCTCTCTATACCCTCACGGAAAACCGACAGGAGGAAAGTTTAACCAAATTCATCATCCTATAACTGTTTTAACAAATTGCGTGCAATGTCTCTCATATCCCTTTGTCTACTAGTGGTTGCGCTATGGAGACACAACTCTAATAATTTTTACCACCACCACCACGCCCCCCGAAAGGTTGAATGCCCAGGATCAAGTGCCGCCATATAACTAGCTTACGTTATATGACAACTCCTCATCCCCATGTCCATCCACCCCCACTCACTAACGAGTGGACTTCAACCTTATGCATTTGGCAATCTGCATGTTTTATAAAACCCCTTACTTGGTTTCAGTCTTCCGACTTTAAAACCTTTTTGTCTAATGTGTGTTTCCTAGCCTGACTTTGCGTGGTGGTTCCCTACCCTAATGGGAAGCAAAATTGAGATTATGTCTTATTATTATTGGTTTACTTTTTCATAGGGTATCAAAGGAGATACTCTTTTGTTTATTCATCTGATGATTATTATGCAACTTTTATTGATATTGATTTAATTTCGTTCTTTTATCTTATATTTGATGAATTGGGCGCATGTACTTTATTCTTCCGAAGCGCGGGTCTTGATTTAATTGTCTGTTGGTCAGGTCGTGCAGTAGCGGGTTCTCGTGGGTTTCTGTTCTTCCGAATGTAGTCTCCGCGTGTTGTCTTATGTAGTTGTCTATGTAGACTGGGTTTATGTTCAGGTCCCTATAGATAAATCTATTTGGGATATACCATGGGGCGTTTACTGCCATTCTTGTTGAGACATTTAGAAATGCCTGTATTCGCTTTTTGTATGTTTCTGCGCATTGGCCCCATGCACTTGATGCATACAAAATTATTGGAAGTAGAATGGTTCTTATTAGGCGCAGCTTCAACTATAGGGCCATGTTGCTTCTGCGACCTATAATTAGAGGCAGTAGGTTTTGCCTTGCGGCTTTACCCAGGTTTAGTCGTGTTGTAATGTGTTGTCTGAAAGTGAGTTTGTTATCTAGGGTTACCCCTAGATATTTTGCTTCGTCTGCCCATGGTATCTGTATGTCGTTTAGTATGACGTGTCCTGTAGGTTTGGTACGTCATCTAGTGGAGAGAACAGCTTGGCTTTTCTCTGCGTTTATTTCTATCTTCCAGTTATTGAACCAGGTTTCTAGTGTGTCAATCTGTTCTTGTAGTTATCGTACTGTCATGTCTGCGTTACTGGATCTGGCAATTATGGCTGTGCTGTCGGCGTATAGTGCGAGTTTGTTTACTCAGTCGCCTAGTGTATTTATATTGTAGCCACATTCTGAAGAGCATGCGCAAATGTCCCTTCTTTTGATAGGAACCCGTACAATTCAGCTTATTCGCAAGAGAAGACATTTGTTTTAGACTAATGAACATAGTACCATACTGCCTTTGCTAATCAACAGGTGAGGTTTCTTTTGCAAATTAGTGAAAAACTCATTGAAAAATGTCATAGTAGTGGAAAAACAGAAATTCTATCGAAGAATAATTTTATTTCTCGCCAGAAACTTGGTGGTCTCGCGTTGTGGACACAAGGGAAATAGTACCTCTCCTGTTTTTTCGTTCAGATGAAAAATTGTTCTCATTTCGCTCTACTTGTGATGTCAAATAATATCTCAGCGACCAGAAACATTGTTTCTTTCAATATCATTCCAATAAACATGATAGCTGAAATAGTAGTAGTATATGCACTTCGTTGGTATATATGTACACACCAACTGGTCAACGACCACCATTGAGGTCCATTAGCCCAACGTGTTCTGCATTGTGTGTTCTGTGCAGGCTTTTTTACTAGCTCCATAAGCCAACTTAGAAGCAGCACTGTGAATTAGAAGGCAATAGTGAATCGTGCAGGACTATCCCCAGCCGATGCTTCAATATACACCTTCTAGAATCACATGTGATTGAATTTATGCATTTTTCTATCAAAATATATCAAGTAAATAAATACCGGCCTCAAAGGGTTGAACAATGCTTTTCTTTAGTGTCCCCCCCCCCGTTATTTTTTGAACGGGTCAACTGAAATAATTGAAACTTGGAGTGTGAAATTGGTGCATGAATACTATATTTTGCAGTAGAATTGACAGATGAAAATTTCAAGAAGGCGACTAGGCGCCCTCTGGGATAAAAAAAAATAAATGGAGAGGGGGTTCTTGTGACACATCATTTTGAAGTTCCTGACGAATACTTCACAACCCTAGAATATAAAGTCAATATCTTCATCTACTACAAGATGACGGAACATTTATTAATTGTCTCAATACATCGACGTTCAACTTCATATTTTAAGAAAATAAGGTGAGTTCAATTCAGAAGATGATCGAAATGGTTGCCTCGAACTTCTTGCCTATTCGATATTTCACGCCGAACATTCTTGAACACAGTAACGTCGATATTTCTACAAATATGCAAATGCAAATATCATCTTTGGGCATCTCTGGGCATATTCGTCTTCGTCCAGCCATACCTTGCCCTTCCAGAAGAATTTAAGGCAATTCCTCAAAGCTTCTTAAGAAAATTGATCAACTCGATGCCATGGCGGTTAGTCAAACTCGAGGAGGGCATACTCGTTAATGACTACATTTAGGAGATATGCTTTTGATGTTGTTGGTAAATGAGGTTTTTTGCTGTTGGATGCTAAAAAACGAGGTGGGAATGAGCGATATTAATCTTTAGAAGCTTCAAAATAATGCAAGCGTATTCTTCGAATCATCTTTTCGGGTTATCTTCTTTTCCTATGATTTTTGTTATTACACTCAGTCATTTGTTGTTCTTCTTCAAACTAACTATAATTAATGATATTGAAGAAATATGATACATTCGACAAGTGACATTAAATTTGACAGCAGTCTTATTTCGTCATATGTATCCTGTTCATTTCAAGTCATGAAAACATGAATTTATCCTTATCTACAACAATAACAACTATAATTTAACATATTTCTGCGTGTGTCGTGTATGTATAGTCATTCATTATCTATTATTACTATTTTTTTCCTTTTGTTTTTTGGTTAGGTGCAAGAGTAAGAATGAAGTTATCCAATCTTGTATCCTATTGGCAGATAAAATTGAATCTATATTGCATTGCTTATTCTTCTGTGAATGAATTTTATCATTATGATGAAATAAAATTGTTCACTGAAACAGGCCCATTCCTATCTGTCTAGTCACTATCTAGAAGTGTTTCCCACGAAAAGGGGTATCCTTTAATGTTCAGAGAACATCGTGAGGAGCAAGGGAAATAAGGTAGGAATTGGTGTTCTTCTTGAATTTCTGGAGGTTATATGCTTTGGGGAACACCTCCCTTGTCAATGAGTTCCAGAGCCTCGCTGTTCGTTGGATAAACGAGTATTTGGAAAGAGATGTTCTGCAGGTCTCCAAAGTGACCACAAGGGGTGCGAAGCCTCAACTCGACGGGTTAATCTCACGGGGACTGCCAAGGGAGGAACAATTGTTGATATTTCAGAAGAGCATCGTTCATGAAAATATCTTTAAAATGGAGCCAGATCGCCAACTTTTCTACGGTGTTCCAGAGAAGTGAGTGAGTTTGTGAGCGAGGCATCACCCACGAGACAAATTGCCCTTTTTTGGACAGAAACCAACAGTTTCGGGGTATGTTTGGGTGCTGCACTCCAAATATGGGAACAGTATTCCAGGACAGGTCGGATCTGTGCCTTATAGATCATAAGCAGCTGACTGGAAGTGAAATAACTCCTGGTACGAAACAGAAAACTAAGTTTTTGGGATGCACTTTAAGCAATTGATCTTACGTGATTTTCCCAAGAAAGCTTATTGCCGATAGTAATGCTGAGCATCGAAATGGATATCTTCAAAGGTATGGTTACTCCTGGCAAGCTTATGTTGGGCACAGTGAGATCGACTTTTCTAGAGAAAAGGCATGCTTGTGTTTTGTTTGCGTTGAAATCTATCAAGTTATTGGATCCCCAATCGAGAATTATCGCCAAGTCCATATTTTTATGTTGTCAACATTTCTCCCTCGTTCGTTTCTGATTTGCCTGGCTGGTATCGGAGCCCTGGAAGAGAAGGCGGTATGGAGGGTACTAGATCATTGCTCACCTATTTGCGTTCTTTGAGGAGCCGTGCCGACATTCTGCACGTGCATTGGCTGCCTGATTTGCGCCAAAGCATGCACCACCGTGGGGTGCGGATATGGTGGGAACCGTGGATTGTGATATGGAAAGTTCGAGCTGGTCGGCCCCTCGAACATCGAAACTGGACTGTTCGATCGCCCGTCGATTGTTAAACCTAAGAAAACGGTTCATCTTTTGAGGAAATAAAGTAGACACCTATAGCAGAGATAAGTTACCCCCAGAACTTGTGGGTAACTTATCTCTGCCTATAGGTAGGTTTTTTATTAATCTCTCATGTATTATACAATAGTGATCAAGTGATATACAATATGGGGTATTTTCCGTGAATCGCCCAGAGTCACCGGATTGGTAACTACTTTTCATATTATAGTTGAAACCAAAAAAACGCTTTTTACGGGACAACTTCACAACAATACAACATGTCACTGTCACTTTGATTTGCTTTGGCACGTGCAGCAAGACAGTTTTTAATTCTCATAATCTGATAAATTTTCTAAGATTTGCACCTGTTATTCTTGTGATTGATTCATGTTTCGTGTCTTTTGGTATAATCTTTGATTAGTGCATATAATAAAGGGTATAATTTCGATTGATTTGCAATGGATACTATTGAACATTTTTTTAAACGAATTATTACTCACCAACAGTGATAGTTCAAGTAGTGAAGAGGAAGATGAGTTGCGTCGAGGTATCATGGGTAATGTCAGGTAGTTACTTTAGAAATTCAATGGACAATAGAAATTACGTTTGCTTCTGGGAACCTCTCATTTTCCATTGTGTTAAAGCTAGTTACAACTTTTGGCAAAACTCAGAAAATCACTACAAAAAACACAATGTCCATCAATCATTCCAAACAGAAAAATAATACAATTGACAGCATGACAGCAATTGACAATCAACTCACCGGATTCACCGATCTCGAAACATCAGTCGTTTTGGTGAGAGATAATCAACCAATTTCAGGAAAAATTTACTGGTTTTTCAGGAATATGACATATACGGGACACAAAATAACCAACCAAAGTAACCAAGTCGATTTACGGAACATACCCATCATTTAATATAATATAAAAATATACAAGGTGTTATTGAAATAAATACATATAATCAGCACATCGATATGATCCAGTCTAACGAATATTGTCATGATATCAGATTTTCACTAATTCTTCTGATTAACAAGAAATTTCATCCCGAAAATTGAACAATAAACGAGAAAAAATTGAGTACGCCACTTTAAAACAATCTAAATGATTTAAATCCGCGTGATTGTGCCTTTCACCCGAAAATTTGAACAGAGGTGACGTCAGAATGGCTACAGTGTGGAACTTCGGGTGGAAAAAGGGGTCTACCCTCAAATTTTATTTTGACCCCTGATTTTTTTTATTGGTACCACTCGATAGTATACGTAATGAGAAATATGGCGAAAAGCTATCATGTTGCGGTTTTCGTTGATCTGTTGAGATTTAGTTTCTCTATTACAGCGTGTAATGATATGCATACCATTAGATTCATTCTATCTCAAACTTGTATCATTATTCGTTGCTGAGATATGGCCGACAGTCGTTCTAAGCTGTTCAACCTGTACATAAGGCACCATTCAAATACGTGAAAAATATAAAGAGTAACTACTTTACCTGGCACTAAGTCGGTGCAAATCAACGCTTTTTATAAAAGCAATATTGAAACACACTGTCATCCTGAATCAATTCAAGAAATTATATTTAACAGTCTCTAGAAGAAACAACATTATATGTATTATGTATATGATTTAAAAATGATTATCTGATTATCTAATTTTTTTTTTTTTTTAGTTGCTCTTTCATAATTTTCCCTGCTATAAACATGTATGTTTCTTGGGAATAATAATAAAGATAATATAAGAGCTACCATGAATCACAAATGCTCACAAAATCAAAAAGACGAGCTCGAACAAACGATACCAAGTGCGTTTTTTGCCTTAGCGCCAAAAAAACAAGGGACGATCTATTTAAATTTTTCCAAATGGACATACTCCCTCCATCTATTGGATTACCATGAAAACAATACTGGCACAAACACTGATTCCTCAGAAAATGCAATGCTTATACAGGGCGTTATGCTTCAATAGTAATACCAAGCATGGAAACGGATGTCTTCAAAGGTGTGATGGAACAAAGTTCTTTGACTGATCTCTCTTGTGATAGAGCTGAGACATGTGTGGTTAACTGGGTAGAATGTATAACATACAGTTTATTATCTGTTTACATCTCACACTTCTCATTCTCACCTGCGGACCTATGAAACCTTGACATCTTGTTCACCACGTGCGGCGTCGCGTGCGTCCTCACGCCCACGTGACCCCCGTACGGGGTGACCGGGAACACGTGCGTCGTGCCCCGCGACGTCGAAACGGCCGCCCAACGCGAGTCGGGCGAGAAGCACATGTGCTGCACTCGGGCAGACGTGTCGCCCCTATGTAACACGTACAGGTGGTGGACGGCTGCCAATGCTGGCCCGCCGGGGTGCGGATGTATCCTACAGATTATTAATTGACCGAAAATAAAATATAGATCATTTTAGAGCAGTTTGAACATTCAGGTGTGTTTTAGAACAATCTGGTACATTTTTAAAAATATTCTGGTGCATTTTAGGACATTTTACTTTACTTTTCAATTTGTTTGTCAGCGATATTAGCAAATATATTTTTCACTCTGTTTTTACATTATATGCTGATGACTTCAAAATATATAAAGAAATTCAGCATCATATGGATATTGATCTGCTGCAATCTGATTTGAATAACTTCCATGTCTGGTCTAGAGTTAATTACTTGGACCTCAATATTTCAAAGTGTTTTTGTATTACTCTCTCAATGGGTCATAATTATATTGAAAACGCTTATAGAATAAATAACTCTGTATTGAAGAGAGTCAATGAGATAAAGGACTTAGGCATAATATTCGATATTAAACTAACTTTTAGAAGTCATATTACTAAGGTAGTGAACACTGCATCAAGGAACTTAGGTTTTATTACTAGGAACAGTAAACAATTCTCTCCTGAAACACTTAGTTCACTTTATTGCCATCTGGTTAGACCTTCACTTGAGTATGGTTCCATCATTTGGAGGCCTTTTTATCAAATACATATTGATAGTTTAGAGCGAATTCAGAAAAGGTTCCTGAGAACATATTCATATCGCAAGAGTTATCATGTTGCTCATATAAACTACCCAGATATCTTAATGGAGCTTAATCTACTAACTTTAGAAAATCGTAGATTAGTGTTGGATATGTGTTTCCTATATAAATTGGTCAATGGCCTTATTAATTCTCCAGATCTGCTTAGTTTGATTAGATTTAATACATTGACCAGAACAAGAAATCCTCCTTTATTTTCCTTGACTTTTCACTCAACGAATTATGGCAACAATAACCCTATTTCAAGGCTACAAAGGAATTATGTCGTTCTTCAAAATCATTGTGACCTATTCTGTGGCAGTCTAGGTAAATTCAAAACTAATGTTGTGAAAACAATTAGGAATACCTGATTAATATAATAAGTGCTACATTTCTATGAGTGTAATTTTCATTGCTCCTACTATTATTATTCATATTTTTGTTGTAATTTTTTTTTCATAAAAATGGTGTAACCGTTGAAATAAATAAATAAATAAATAGATAAATGAATAAATAAATTTTGATGCATTGTGAGAAAAAAACTATGATGATCTGGTAAATAATACATTTTTCTTTGATATTCTTCAACATTCTATAATATTTTAGAACATTCTCGAACCTTTCGGAGAATGCTATAACATTCTGGAAGATTCTATAACATTTTAGAGCATTAAAGAGAATTTGACAACATTTTAAAACACTGAAGCATTTTAGAATATTCTTCGAGAATACTTTATAACATTAGTTTCAAGTTTCTAGAGGATTGTAAAACATTATCGAGAATTCTATAATATTATAGATAATTATGTATGCGAGCATTTTCGTAGATTTTGCATTTTATTATTACTATTATTATTATTATTTTTATTGTTAGGTATGTGATCATAGTTATCGTTCTGTGATTCATATATTTCTGGTAGATGATTAAGGCTGAGGTGATATAAGAGAGAATTGTATTAGTCAGTCTACGTTTATCCTTGATAGAATGAAGTGGTTGTTCTCGCTGTTCATTGTAGAAGTGCCTATTTCATTTACGTACACCCGAACACTGTTTCTACAACACGATTTCCCACATGTATGTATGTATTTACCTATTATTATTCGAGAATGTTTCAAGATACTCTCAAATGTTTTGAAATTCTACAAAATGTTCGAGTGTTGCAGAATGTTCCAGAATCTTATAGAGTGTTCCAGAATCCCCTAAGATGCTCGAGAGTTATCCTTATATGATTCAGAATGTCTGAGAATGATAGAGATTGTCGAAGAATATTGCGAAATGTTTCAGAATATTATGGAATGTTCCAGAAGGTTCAACAGTTTTCTAGAATACTCCAAAATATTTGAAAATATTAGAGAATATCGAAGAATACTACAGAATGTTACAAAATGCTATATAATTTTCCAGAAGTTTCATGAATGTTCTGAAATGTTCCAGAATGTTATAAAAACTCCGAAAATGTGTTCAAGAATGTTCCTAGTATGTTCTAATGTCGAAGGATATTGCAAAATACTTCATGTTCTCACGCCAAACATATTCGGAACGCCTAATCTCGGCATGAATTGACGCTTCCTGAAATTCAAATTACTATTCTAAAATACAAGCGAATATTCTGGAATATAATTGACGATTTCTGAAATGAAATGATGTAGTATCAGGCGTCTGGCAGTATGACAATCGATCGGGATATCGAATGGTCGTTTTGAAATAGAACACGAATAACGCGATGTTACCCGATTGCAGCGTACTCGGTGCTCGATACAAAAATGCTACCGGGTGACACAGTCTCATGGTATACCCTCCTTTTCTCCTTTGTTTACCTAGCTATATTACTCAGATTTGGAACATCGAACACGCCCACTAGAGGGCACTTTCGCACATTTTGAGATGTTTTCTTCATCATGATTTTTTTATCTACCGGTTTTCTTGAGGTTCCAATTAGTTTCTGCTCCCAAGGTGGTTCCAACTGAATCCATGGTGGTTCAAACTCGTTCCAACTGGTCTTATTGCACAATTGGTTAGATATTGTGATAACGCATTCAACAATACCAGGTTTGATTGGATTGTTTCAAACAATTACGAAGATATTCGCTTTTAAAGTTACCATATGCTCAATGAGTGTGACAGAGATCGTTTGAAATAACCCAATCAAACCCGGTATCGTTGAATTCATTATAATAATCTCTAACCAATTATGGAAAATCGAGTTTTCTTTTTATCTCATAGAATTTTTCAGAAAGTTCAAGCATATTTTAAAATGCCCCAAATTGTTCGTTATATGTTCCAAAAAGTTAGAGAATGTCAAAGATTCTTGCAGAATGTTCCAGAAATTCGAGAATGTTGCGGAGTGTTAGGGAATTTAAAGGATCTTGCAGAGTGTTCCAGAATATTATAGAAATTTCCATGACGTTCTAGAATACTCTAAAATTCTCTAGAATGTTATATGTATAATTGCAGAATGTTCCAGAATGTAACATTTTCCAGAAGGTTCGAGACTATTCTGAAATGCTCCAGTATGAAACTGTCATGTTCCAGAATGATCCAGGAAGTTCCAAATTGTTCTAGGATGTTCTAGAAGGATAGAGAATGACCTATAGTGTTCCAAAATGCTCTAGAATGTTCTGAGATCTTCCAGAATGATTCAAGATATTTGAAGAAATTTCAGGTTCCGCAACGTTCGAGAAAATTGAGAATATAATGAGTAAGCCTAACATTGAAATTTTCTGATTCAAATTTGATAGTGACTGGTTACATTCGAGCGAAGCGAAGATACCACCGGCTAGCATTTTATGAGGTCAAAAAATCTATAATAATACCTGAAAAGATGGAAATCGTGTCCCCTTTTGTCAGCAGTAAACAATAACAGACCGCTGGGATCAAATTTCAAATAAACAATCGCTTCAGTGTGTGCAGTGAAGTGAGCCACAATTGGATCACAAGCTGGAGGCGGTTTTTCTTGAGATTGTGCACATGGACTCTGAAAAAATAGCCTTGTAGGTATAACTCTTCCCAAAATTTATACAAGGTTGGACAAAAGTATGGAACCAGGTGAATATCTCGGTAACCGTTTGTTAGGTTTTCTTGAATATATGTACAGGGTGATTTCAAAACGTGGTGGATTTGAAAATGTTATCGACGATGTTGCCACTTTTTCAGTTATTCCGGAATCATTACTAACTTCCTTATTTTAAATAGAACAACCTGTATTTTATTGAATTTTCAGATTCTCCCTTGTCCCTATCTCAACTTTTGATTTACTATCTATTGGTATTTAATGGGATCAGATTTCTGAATCTTGAACCACCCTGTATTTGTTTCAATTAAATGCCGGTAGATAGTGAATCAAAAGTTGACGTAGGGACATATGTGAGCCGTTTTGACCAATAATAGATAGTTTTGACACAAAAAAATCCTGAAGTTGAAAAATCTCGATTTTGTACACCCTATATCTCAGTAATCATTCTTGCTAGACCCCAACTGTGATGAATCGATGAAATCAGCTTTTCAGGGAGAATCTGAAAATTTAATAAAATACAGGGTGTTCTATCTAATATAAGGAAGTTCATAATAATTTCGGAAAAACTGAAAAAGTGGCAACATCGATGATAACATTTTCAAATCCACCACGTTTTGAAATCACCCTGTACATATATTCAAAAAAATCTAACAAACGGTTACGGAGATATTCACCTGGTTCCATACTTATGCCAATGATGGAAATAAGTAGATGATGCTATGATTTCTCTACGTCACAGCGAGCGAGACGTTGATTCTACATTTTCCCGCTAGATGGTAATGCTGCTATTGCAGTGGAAATAAAATGACATTTTAGGTACGCGGAACATATGTAACAGTGGGATGAATTCGAAAAATCTGCAACAATTTCAGAACTGACAGATGTCAGAATTGTGCAATGTCGCCATCTATTAGAAGATCGACGGAACCATTGCTCTCGCTGTTCTCGAGAGGTCGAGTAAAATTTCTGAAAAAAAAAGCGCATCAGTAATTACACCATATCTTACTTCCATCATTCTTATTTCCATCATTCTTATTCCCAACCCTGTAGGAGAAGAAGAAGAAGAAGGTATATGAAAATTCACATGCAATGATCTGACATTTTCCACTGATGAAGTTGTCGCTCACTTACTTCAATGTCCAAGATGGTGACGATGCCCTTTTGGGGCACGTCCGACATCCCCCCTGATTGGGGACTGTTGGGGGAGGTGCCGGGTTTGAAGGAGCCGCTTCCCGTTAAACTGCTAGCCACACTTTCCCCTAACTCCCTGAGGCCTCTGCCCAACGACTTGGCTGCGTGAAGAACGGTGGCAGTGTAACTCTGGAATCGAACAGAAAATTATCATATCTGGTAGAAGTCCATCGTTCCTCAAAGTGGAGTACAGTGATTAACTCTTTCAAGTACACTGGTGCACAATTTAAACCACGAATTTCTTGGACTCGGAAGTATGCTGGGACAAAATAATATGCTGATAGTTTGTGGTACGACGGTTCATTTTCTTTACCGGCCCATATAACTCACTCCTATTGGTGTTCGCCATCATATCTTCAAGGCTGGGGCGAAGTAAACAAAGCATCAGAAGAATATAGAATAAACTCCAAACTTGTTACGTACGTTGTGTTCATGCTCTCAAATCGCAGGTGCAAATTTCACCTTCTTCTTGTTATGACTCTTTTCATTGCATGAAATACAAACTGAGCAATATAGGTAAGCCACTAGTTTCAGCTTAATTGTTCATCTTACATCCATAATTTGTGAAAATCGATGCTGTTCAAAGTTTGTCCCACTATACAACAACGAATATTGTCTTGCAGAAATGGCCAAGAGATTTTCGAAGGAACCCTTGGCCTCCACGCTGATTGCGATGACAGAATAGGAGCTGTACAATGAAATGGACCTAAAAATTAATGCTACAGAAGAATACAAGAATATTCCTTCTGATATTGGCTCCGCAAATGATAGCGATAAGGAAAATGACTTCGAATTCAAATTTGGTGCTGATGACATGATACTGTCCGATATAGATGACGAGACAACAGTACCTATGGATACATGGGACCCAGAAGATTTGATCCCTTCATCAAAGTTGAAGCCATTTAGAGAGATGAAATTGGCAGAATGGATGAGATCGCTCAACCAGAAGATTTCAATTAATCCTCCGAAGTTGCTCAAGACATCAAGGATTTGGATAAGCACCTTACACTCTCTTCTGTCAGTTCATTACGGATGATTTGTTCTATTTCGTCTTGGAAAGAACAGAACATGTTTCCAGACGTATCACAGTGATTTCAAATGAATTAGGTATCAAACTTCGACCCACCTTCTTTCTGGAAAAATGATTAACTTTGAAATTATTTTAAGTTTGTTTGTGTATTTCGCAATATTTTGAGTTGGTTTTTCGATCTTCCTTGGAAATCACAGAAAAAAATAAAGCTGTACATCTAGGGGGTGTTATATATCAAAATTCTTGTCTTGAAAGTTGATACTGAATAATACAGAAAGTCATCTCCACGACATTTTTTTGTGAAAACTCACGGGTTCATTGTCTCTCAGAGGAGCATGTCTCAACTGGTTTAGCTCATACGTAGAGAATAGATCACAGATGGTAAGAGTAGACAATGTATATTCTAATCTATCGAATATAAATTGTGGTGTACCCCAAGGATCTGTTTTGGGTCCTATTTTATTCTTACTTTACCTTAACGATCTCGCTACATTTCTGCCGTGCTAAGCGCAGAAGCGGTAACTGACATTTCCAAGGAAATTGAGATATTAGCTCCACATAAATGTATGACTCGGAATCTGTCCAAAACTAGAGTTTCATAGCGGTATATACCTTTTATTTTCTATTTTTATTTTGAATTTTAAATAGCGGTATCTACCAACTTTCAAATGTTAAAAATTTACTACGGTGTTAGGCGGTAATTATCATTTGCTTGGGCATTGCAGGGGTAATAAACTGCACATACCGCTCAAATATATTAGCGTTTGTCAAATACGCCCTATATACTCAAGTTGTGATGCATTTTCCGCGGAAACGGCTCAGTAACATCAAGGTGTTTGAAGGATGAACATATAGGAATAGGAATCAATAGTAAAAAAAACATCATCACATAAATATTGAATATTGAAATATTTTTTTGATTCGAATATCATTCAGCTGCTGTTTTATGGAACGGGTTGATATCTTCCTGTATCTTCTCCTTACACAAAGGGTGAACATGGAATTCGAATAAATGTATCTTGTAATTGAAATAGGATATTTCTTGATTCCTCATTTCTCCATATCCTATCTTATAAAATTAATGAATATCATTATTGTCTTGAACAATAATAGCTGGAACACATTGTATAATTGTTGACCAGTAGCAACAATATTGATAAATGCTTCTAGTAGTAGTCAAAAATAATATAATAATGGCTCAAAGAGCTCTATTTATCAGGAAAAAAGAAACCAAGATTGAGACTTCAGCGGCCTCTAGCGCCAAAACTAGCCATTAGAACGGTTTGGCATTTGGACATTTTGTTCAGAATGTCTTGAACTATAACATATTGTCGCGAGTAGAACATACGGTATATTAAAAATTTCGATCCATGAGGGTTTTATAAACATAAAGTTAATCAAATCATCCGTTGACATTGAATTATAAAAACTGACCAAGGAACTCTCATGAGAAACGTGCATATCTAATAAAATGATGTATATAAATATGGAATGTGAGGGTTCCGAATTTAGTCTGGTCTGGGGCTACTCTTGACTTGACAAGAGCTCGTCGTAATGGTAATGATCATGTAAGTTGTTATTCGATCTTTATATTCGTTGTTGTTTATTCATATTTATAATCACTTCACCCATAATGTTTCATGCTTCATTAGATATTGTTATGTTTGAATATAGTCTCGTACTTTCAGTTACCCCTAAACCATTAGTGCCTATTTAAATATTACCCCTCGCAAAATATTAAGCCAAGCATTACCCCTTATAAATCGATATGGGTGGAGAAACCATCTAGTAAATCGTGACAAAAATTCAGCCAATTCGACAGAAGGCCAATTTTCCCTATAAAACGTGCGGTGTACCTCACAAAAAAACAAAGTCCCTCACCTGCACCCCTTCTCCGTCGTTGCCCCCGCTGCTCCTCTTCGAGCAGTTCAACTTCTTCTCGGCGTAAGCCATCCACCGGGAGCCGAGCGCCACCGGATTGGGATGCAGGCCTGGACTCAGGTAGCACGTGGTCACCGTCAACCGGTCCTCCAGCGTGAAGGCGTCGAAGACGGCGATCTTCTCCTGGAAGGTTGCCGCCACCGAGCGTCGGTTAGCCAGGATGCCCAGGAACGGGTTCTTAAATTTTATCACCTTTACCTGAAAAAAAAAAAATAGTTATTATACAAGGGTTAAATAGTTATTTTTCTGTGACGGGAAAAAAGTTCAGCATTTCATCTCTGTTGACAGGTTATAATATGTCAGTTTTCATAAATTCGTTTTTCCCACGGGAAAAAAGTGAGTACTTTTTTCCCGGATATACAGGGTGTTAACAAATAAGTGTCACAACGGAAAACTGTAGGTTACTCATAATAAAAGAAACATTTCTTTCCTCTTCAAAAATTTTCTCCGGGGTTCTGTTTTCAAGATACAGGGCGTCAAAAAATCAAAAATGTTCAGTTTGATTAAACACACTTTACTACACTTAATAAACTTGACAATTTGAAAACCAGCATCGAGACCAGATACTCAAGAACCTGACATTTGATTGAACATATTATTAGACAGTTCTGAGGTGTTTATTTGCAGTGGATTTTTCAGACGATTTTTGGAGATATCATCAGGATTTTGTATGTTCTTATTCATAAAGAGCCATTTTTCGCGGAACCTGTTCACTTTAGAGCATTGAGACAAGAGGAGATTTTTTGTGTGAAAGATATTGGCGCTTCAGAATCTATTTTGAAAATTACAATTTCTCCAGTGGCATAAATGTTTGGGGGTCAAACCCTTATGAGGCGTTGAATTCTCCTCCACTGAGATGTCCAAGGAAATTGATCAAGAGCCCTAAAAGTAGTCATTATTGATGATAAAGTGTGTACGAAGGCTCAACTCCGTAGCTCAGACGGTTCCTGTATAGTAGCAAAAACCAGATATATTTGTATTTTTTTGACGTCCTGTATCTTTATAACGGAAGCCCGGAGAAAAATGTCGAAAGGGAAAAAAATGTTTCTTTTTTCATGAGCAATCTACAGTTTTTCGTTGTGACACTTATTTGTTAACACCCTGTATAGTACCTATACAGGGAGACATAGAAAAAAGTACATTGCATAGTGCCACACAATAGAGGACACTAAAATAAGAAAAAAAGTTCCCATAAACACGGGTCCGCATGATCTTCGGTTGAAAGATACGGGGTGTTGAATTTCAAATTTTTTTTATTAATTTGCAAAAACTGATAAATACTTCAACAATTACATTTGATTACCTCTAACAATTAGAACATTAGTTTGACAAGTGTCATTATGACACATTATTTAATTGTTATCTATCATTGTTTTTGCAAAGGTTACTTTGGCCGCTTTTTGAATAATTTGCGTGCTTTGTTGGCTTTTAGATGCATTTGTACGGGAACCATTGCTTCTATCGACTTGAACAAGGTATACCTCTCTCAAGTACAAAAGAAGGGAAAACGAATTTTTTCAGTCGAAAATGACATACAGTGTATAGCAAAAAAGTTACGACCGTTTCAATAGGGATGGAACCCTGTATGTAGCGCCCTCTATCAGTCATCACGAAAGATCATATTTGAATTTAACATGATAAATACTACTGTATACCATATTTTATCCATTTCTTGCGTCTCTGGCTAAAGAAATTCAACGAAAAGCCCAAAAAAGATTTAAATTCAACACCCCGTATCTTTTAACCGAAGGCCTTGCGGACCCAAGTTCATAGGAACTTTTTTTCTTATTTTAGTATCCTCTATTGTGTGGCACTATGCAAGTATGCAATGTACTTTTTTCTGTCACCCTGTATATACACTGTTGCTGGCTTTTGTTATGCTAGTTCAAAAAAATAAGCCAATAATACCGTCTCCGAGAAAGAACTTCAAGTCCTTTCATCTTTCATTCCACTTCGCGTTTACGTAAATTACTAAACAACCACTGAATTCGCAATTTTTTAAAATCAAAACACAGAATTAGACTGGCAGATATTTGATTACTTCAAAAGAATGATAAAGATGCCTGCAAAAAGTTGCAGCAACGTAGGTGTAATCACTGTTGAAAACTTCAAATTTCACGTCGATAATTTTCTGATCTTAATTTCATGTAAGATATCTCAAAATTGATTCGTCCTTTTTTTCTGTCACAGAAAAAAACAGTGTATTATACACGGGAAAAATATTAGATTTTAGCTCACGGTTTTTTGTCTCCCTCCCGTGAGCTAAAATCTAATATTTTTCCCGTGTATAATACACTATTTTTTTCTGTGGCAGAAGAAAGGACGAATAGACTGTTTGCCCGCGACACAGGGTTTATCGATGTTCTAAGTCGGTATGCCATTTAAGGGACCCACTCACTTAGTCCAAGTTAACAGGAAGAAGTGCCTCGGAGAGTCGCAATCCAGTCCTTGCCCTGGTCCTGACCTCACCTTTCGGTTGGAAAAAAGTTCAAAATTTTGTTAAAGAAGAAGCTCGGCAATGAAGTGCAATGAGCTTATCTGACGAAAATTGGGGCGCTTGCCGGTTTGCATACACCTAGGTCACTCCCCAAGGGCGGCATACGAACCGCAAGTGGCAATTTTTCAGTGTTATAGTCGATGAACTGAGAATGTATGCCCTTTGGCGAAACAACGAATTGGGACCCTTTAATCAATTTCCCGACATTTGCATACGGTTCCGGAGAGGGGAGCTCGACTTATTTGAACTTCATTTGACTGGATATCCTTCAAATAATCGATAATCGAAGAAATGTTAAAATTTTGACCATCTTTAGTGGACCACACGGTATATATGAGATGATGGTTTGCATACAATTTGCACATTCCGTACAGGGTGGTTCACCATAAATATCTCCCATTGTAACTTAGTTGTTTCTGCGAAGATATTACATTATTTTGATATCTGAAAATTATCGACGTGAAATTTCAAGTTTTTAACAATAGGGACACCTGCGTTGTAGGCATCTTCATAATTCTTTTGAAGTAATCAAATATCTGATGTCACTTCTGTCAGTCTAATTCTGTGATTTTATTTAAAAAAATTGCGAATTTTGTGGTTGTTTAGTAATATACGTAACCGCGAAGTCGAATGGAAGATAAAGGGACTTGCAGTTCTTTCTCGGAGACGGTATTATTGACTCATTTTTCGGAAAGCCATCAACAGTGTATATATGTGTGGTATATATCCGGGAAAAAAGTACCCAATTTTTCCCACGGGAAAAAAGTAATTTATGGAAAGTGATATTTTAAAACCTGCCAACAGAGATGAAATGCCAAACTTTTTTCCTATCACAGAAAAAACAAAGTTGTTCGGCAACCGAAACAAAAGTCATCAATTTTAATTCCAAAATTAGCTCTCGAAGTTGACGTTTCTTTTGCTGACATAAAAACAGGCAAGTGTAAAAACTTAACAAAAAGATTTCCGCGATATTCCCAATCACACGACATGTTTGGCTAACACAGTAGCTTCATCAGGTGAAATACTGATGGTACAATGAAATAAACTATTCGTGATTAGCTTTTCTCAATTCAGAATTTCTTTCCACGTCCTGTATGATGAATATAAATTCATCATACATCCAAAAACAAATGTCCAGATGACAGGAGAATGTCAACAAATCATAATTCTCAGATGTCAGGTCGTTAAAGTTTTAGTTATATTATAGGGAGATGAAAATTGTGTATATTGTGTATAGGATAACTGGACTTCAGATTACTGATGAGGATTTGATATCCGAAATGAATTTATTCGAGTGGAGTCATATAAACCTTCTTGTGAGAGATATAAATCCCATATCACTGATATGAATGATTTTTTTGAAAATACCAAGCTCATCAAGATTAGAGTTTATACAAGTATATACTTCTCATATACATTTCAATACTGAACATATTGGTAAATTATATTTTTATATCATAATACATCATATTATTTTATCCGATTTGAGAGATGATGGCAATTCTCAATTTCAGAGGATTTTCATTTTTCATGACCCCTTTTTGGATGTTCAACAGATATAATTCAATGTTCGACGTGGCAAATAGCCAGGAAAGTAGTTGTTTTCTGTTGAATATTCAGAATTATATTATGTGCATATCTTTATATGAAGGAGAATGCAAATTCTCTTCTTCAAAAGATTTTGTTTTCAAATTCTAATCGTGTATGTTCAATAGATGTAATTCAATGTTCGTCGTCGCCAGAAAAGTAGTTGTTTTCTGTTGAATAAACCGAGAAAGGATTGATATTTCTTTATATATATATATCCATTTTTTCATGTTCATAATTATATCTGAGAATATTCCCTTTCAAATTAACTAACAAATTTAACAGTTGGGACCTATTGAGGTCTAGTTGATCGTTAAGTAAAATGTTAGAATTTTTGAGTTTGTTGATTTCTAATGATTAAAGATGATTGAGTTTTATCCCTTCATTTTCTACGTGTAGAATTTCGACATACAAAAAGTTGAAGTACGGGATTCGAACCCACAACCTTTGACATATCAGTTCGGCACGCTACCCATTGGCCATTGTGTTTTGTGCGAACTTATACAGGGCTTTTCACGATGAGCGTTAATTAGACGTTTCTGGCAAACCAGATAACTGATCATTTTGAAAATTCAATAGAGGGCATATTCGGACATTCTCTAGCCAACTAAAATATTTTCGACAATGTGGTGTTGCCGCTTCTATTAGAAAGCAGTAGCAACTTTGATTTTTCAAATAGAACACTCTGTATTTTATTGCATTTTTAGATCCTCCCTGAAGAGCTGATTTCATCGATGTATCACACTTGGGGTCTAGCGGAAATGATTACAGAGATATAGGGTGTGAAAAATCGACATTTTTCAACTTTAGGAATTTTTTTTGTCGAAACTATTCATTATTGGTCAAAACGGCTCACATGTCCCTATCTCAACTTTTGATCAACTATCTACTAACATTTAATTGAAACAAATACAGGGTGGTGCAGAATTCAGAATCTTGATCACCCGGTATATGTCCCAATTAAATATCAGTAGATAGTTAATCAAAAGTTGAGATAGGGACATGTGAGCCGTTTTGACCAATGATGAATAGTTTCGACACAAAAAAATCCTAAAGTTGAAAAATGTCGATTTTTCACACCCTATATCTCTGTGATCATTTCCGCTAGACCCCA